TATGTATGTTCATTTCCCAACATGCCTGTACACCCTGGAGAAATAAGATCACTATGTATAGAGCATGCAGGGATGTATCATCATCATCATGTGCCCTGCCAACTGGCGTAGGCGTTCATTCATCTCCACAGACCACAATCCCTGGTTGCCTGGAACAGCTCTCTTGATGATATCCCTCCATGCCATCGTTTCAGCCCATCCAGCATTATCTCTCTTGGTCTGCCTCTACCCTCTTTCCACAGATCTTTTCAGTTGTCACGATGTTCTCCAATGTCTCTCTTCTCATTATGTGGCCAAAGAACAGTGTTTTCTCTTTTTTATTGTTGTATATAGAGATCTACTTTCATTAGCTTCTTTCAAGCAATCATTGTTAGTAACTCTGGCCATCCAAGGTATTCGTAACATATGTCTCAGAAACCACATTTCTGTTGCTTCCAAATTCTTCCTAATTTGTTCAGTGACATTCCAAGATTCACTACCATACAGCAGAACAGGTTCTATGTCACATTTTAGCACACTATTTCTGAGAGTGATATATTGCATAAGATAAGGGAGGTATACATATCCTATTTTTGTATTATTTAGTCTATGATTTTTGAGGCACTGTATGATTTAAACATTGTTCTTTTCCAGTTATGGCTGCGTAGAAATGTATGTGGAATGGAATGCTGAAAATGCCACAAAAATCATGGATGTAACTGAATCACTGAAGACAACTGGCATAATGGTATTTGGTCAGCATTACAAGGTTATGTCCGAACCTTGCACAGCTCCACCAGGTAAAAGCATTACTGTTTAATCAGATATTGTCTTATCCATTGCTTTAGGCACCATTCATTATCCTTTTGTGCCATTATGTGTCACATAGGGTTTGCCGTCTATTTCTCTATCCTGTTCAGTGACTTCAGTATCATGAATCCTTTGGCTTCTCTCATCACTGATTTCATTAATGCTTTTCTTGGATGTGCTTGGTCTCTTGTCTGTTTCCAAACTCATCTTTTTATCTTTTCTCAGAATGTGTCCAATATAACACCATTTTCTCTGTCCTTTAACTATTGATAGCAGTGGTTGCCCAGACATTTCTCTCATTTCTTCACTCCTCTTGAACTCATCCCCTTTTATGTTCATCATGTTCCTCAGGCATTTGTCTTTGAATGTATTTAACTTTTGTCTGTCTTAAGGAGTTTCTAAACTTCCACTGGCATATATGTTAAAACTGTGATTCGCAGTGACATAGCGGCTAGACTCTCTAGTGCAGATCAGAAGGTCAGGGTTCGCTACTTGGCGGAGCCTGGACTTTATTAAAAAATGACCTTAACTCCCAGGTTGACCCAGCCTTGAGAAAGTACAAGGTGCAGTCCCGGGAAGTAAGCGTAATGCTGACCAAATCACCCGTCTTGTGCCGATTGGTCTATAAAAATATAGGTCTAGCCCTATATGCCCTATATGCCTAAAGGCATGGAAAAGGGACCTTTACTTTATATGTTTAAACTAAAATAATATTAGAACTGAAAATACATAACTTGGTTCTAAAAACAAAAGCTTTATTATTAAAACAAGTTAATTCTTTCAGTCCAAATGGGTTTAGCATCAGAGGCCCAAAGGGTAGTAAAAAGACACGTAAAATCGGCGCATCTTGCATTCATGGGCCTTCTAGGTAGGAGCGTAGAAATGTATAATTTATTTTTGAGACTGAAAGAGTTAAGTATTTTTCTGTGGACCATATGGTGCTATAAATCTGTAGCGTACAATATTAAGGAAAAACATGTTTCAATATTGCAGCCCAAGCAACTGTTTTGAGGTCTACATTTTATGTGAAGATGTCATGGTTAGAGAACTTCAAAAACCACAGTTCTGCTGAGTACCAGACAGCAATGAAAGATGTTGCCACTTACTTCAGTAGAGTAGGAGGTAGCATTCGTGCTTTGGAAATGGCCCAGAAGTAAGTTAAAAAAAAAAGTAATATATCCCATTCTTCTTCTTCGCACAGTTTGCTTTTGAGGCCAGGTTTCTTTTCCAAGTTGTAAGTAGAGTGGACCGGTCTGTAGAATGTGCTCAGGTGTTTGTGGTCCTGTTTGACAGACACACTGTGGAGACTGCATCTTTATTTCATGCATGTGGTAGTTGAGCCTGCAGTGTCCTGTTCTTAGATGGAAAATTGTTGTATGCTGCTTTCTGTTTTCTGTTGAGTCTGCTGATGAGGTCTTGTGGATGTTTACTGCTGGTTTGTTCTCTCCACAAATTCTTACATTTTCTATTGATAAGTGTTTTTATTTCTAGTATGAATGGGTGTATTGTGTCATCTTTGTTCCATTTTTTTTGCAGGTCTGTCCACTAACTCATTTTCGGGTATGCCGAAGTGAGCCAGGATCCAATGGAGTATGGTGTGATTGATTTCTGAGAGTCTGTTTAGCTGGCGGGTCAGTTTTCTCTCCATGTTGTCTCGTGGATCCCTTTGAGTCACTTGGAGGACTGACATGCAGTGATAACACATGAAAAATAATTTTGCTGTTTTTAATTTTTCTTTCCTTGAGCACTTTGGTTGCATCAATAATTGTTGATGCTCTTCTCTGAAGTTTGTTGAGTGTCTCCTGGAGGCACATAACACTTCATCTGTGGTCCCATCTTGCAGAATGTTAACCAAACCAGCTCCTCCATTTTTGGCTGCTCCCTCCAATGATCCATCGGTGTACATGTGTGTCCCTTCAGGTTTTGGATAACAGTTGTAGACATGTTCAAGGGTCTTTGCATTCAGTACTAGGTCACATTCTTCAGACTTTCTGTCTCTGTCTGGAATTGTTGTTGTGACTGTACAATTAGTCTGTAGGTCTATGTTGTATGCCTGGATCATCTTCCTCATTGAAGTTTATAAAAAGTGATGGCACTGTTTTGTGGTGCAGAACATTTTGATAGATAATAAAGCTTGATTTTTTTCAGTCATTTTTTAGTCAAGTTGTTTTCCGTTTTATGCATGGGGTTGATGTTCATAGGTTAAATTTTTCTGCTAGGATAAGTACCTTTTCTTCCCTTCTTTGGCTCAAACTCTGGAGGCCATAAGTTACCTCTAGCTCATTGATTGGTGTGCCTCTCATACCTTTATTGATGATTCTGAGACCAGTGTCCTGTATATTGTCAGGTTTATTTAGACTTGATATGGCTGCAGTGGAGTATGCTCCCATGCCATACTCCAGTTTTTGTTGTACGTTTCCAGTGTATATTTGTCGTACTTTGTTGGCATCTGCACCCCAGCTTGTTCCAGTAAGTTTCTTCATAAGTCTGAGCCTCAGGGTAGCTTTCTTTTGTCTGTTTTCAATATTGGAGCCCCAGGTTAGTTAGTAGAGGTCTCAGTCTGCTTCCTTGTAGCTCCAGCTGGCTATCTTCTTTTTGTTTTCTGGTGGCTTGACCTCTCCTATCATGACAATGACTGGTTTGTGATCACTTTCTCCCAGCTGTTTCATCACTTTTTCTGTCTGCCCATCGTTTGATGTTTTCTGTGGCAATAGCTGAGTCCAACTGACTCTGCAAAATTATTCTTTTGATTAGTTTTGTTTTCTTGAATGTGTGAAAGTATTTGTACAGTTTATCTATAAAATAGTTGGACAAAATGCAGCTTAGCACATGCATTAAATATCATAAACATTTGCTTATTTTTAAAATGTGTGTCCCACATTACAGTCTGAAATTCCCTTATACTTCATCTATAAAAGGAGTTTAATTCTAGTTATAAACTGCTTAGTTTTTCCCTGCATTGAATATTTATTACAGATGCACTGTAACTGTTGTGTATGTATAGGTAAGGAACATTTGGGCTTATCCAGTCACAGTTATAAATAAAATGGTCTAAAAATAATGATAGAAAGGGGAAGTGACAGAGGATCTTGCAGACACTTCACACTGAGAGGAAAAAAACAATAAATGTTTAATCAAACTTTAGCTGACACCATTAGTTATGGAATCTAGTGCTAGCTGCTGAAGATGGTGATATAGCACTTATGGGAAAACCATGAGTGCTGTGATACTGGTTTTTCATTCAGTGCAACTGTTAAATAAAATATAATCAATTTGAAAACCATGTTTATAGTCTTCTTAGCTTATTTGTTTCCAAGCAAACACATGGGGCGGGGTTGATTATTTTCTTTGAACTGCAACTATTGTATGATGTTTTTTAACATTTTTTGTGTAAGGTTTAGTTGTAGAATTCTAACAAAATCTAGCTTCTGTAGGTACCACCAGTACTGTACAGTTGGCATGTTTAAAAATAAACCAATCATAATTTATCAGTATCTTATTTCTGAGATTTTATCTTTCTGGAAAGACTTCTACAACTTGAATAGTCGGTGTACACAAATATGATTTGTAACAATAAACTCAGTGACATTTTCAATTAAATAGGTGAGAACAGTAATACATTATAATTTTTTTGAGTTGTGAGTTTAAGTTTATGAATCTGCTGAAAAAATATTTAACCTTTAATTAATTTCAAAGAGCCTGAACAGGCATAATTTTGTTATTCATTTAAATTGTAATGGGAGCTGTTGTGGTTTTGTGGCTGGATCCGATATAGCCAGGCTTTTGGCTCCCAGGTCAGATCTGCCTTGAGTGGATACCAGGTAAAATACTGGGAAGTAAAGGCGGATGGTGTGATGTTGACTACATCACCCATCAAATGCTGACTGATCTATAAAATATAGTTCTAGCACTATATGTCCAAAATGCTGGAAGGTTAGGAAAAGGGTCGTCCTTCACTTCGCTTTATTTAAATTATAATATTGCACTTTAAAATGCTCAGTCATGTTTATTAAATCGTAAAATCATTTCTTTAAAGCTACGGATGTGTGGAGTTTTACTTGGAATGGAATGTTGCTGATTCCACCAATCTCATGGATTTTATGTCAGGACTGTATGTCAATGGGATCACGGTCTTGAATGGAACATACTCGGTTCAAAGTCAGCCTTGTGAGATCCCTACAGGTAAAAGCTCCACACTTGTTTTGTAGTAAATGATCCAGATGGTGATGTTTCTGGGAATTTATGCATGTAGAATGTTTTATTTGAGAGAGAGGAGGGAGAGTGAGAGAGGGGGAGAGAGGGAAGAGAGAAGGAAAGAGAGAAAGAGGGAGAGGGAGGGAGAGGCAGACAGGATTAATGAATAAATGAAATTTATTTTCAAGGGGTCACAAATCATGCATGAAGGCTCACTTTATATTCGACCCTTCCAGACACTCGTCTTTCACACAGCAAGTGTATTTTATCTGTAATATAACAATATACATAATATTTTTATGTATATTATGTATATGGAGGGGTGGTGTGTGTGTGTGTGTGTAATATATATATATATATTCTTAAACACATAAATGAGAGAGAGAGGGAGGAGACAGAGGGAGCAAAGTATTCAAATAATTAGTTACTTTGTTTACTCTTCTTTATTACTGACAATTTTTTTAAAATGTTGAATTCAGCCAATGTCGATGACTGTCCTGAAGTTCCCAAAGGTAGCATGAGTGCATGTGTAATAGCCTGTGCTTCTGACAACACCAGCTCATTGCAACAATGCTCACAAGGGTTCAAATGCTGCTCAATTGGTTGTGGAAAAATGTGCAGGAGAGGTAATTTACATATTTGTATGAATATGTATGTGTAGACAGATAGCCAGACAAAGAGACAGACATAATACAGAAAAAAGCGTATACAGCCAGACAGACAAAATCTCTTATGTGACCTAGGTGTAAAACCTAGCAAAGCATGTCTATGCTGGGCTAAATTAAAATCCTTTAATGCCCTAATCACCTAAAACATTTTGGTACCCCCCCCCCCCCCCCCCCCCCCCCCCCTCTCTCCCCCAGTACTTAAAAGATTTTCATCTTCTATGTCTTATTACTGTTGACACTATTGGTTGCCAGACATTTTTCACATTTATTCACCAATCTTGAATTCCTCCCATTTTAATATTAATTGTTCTATGCAGTGATTTGTTTCTGAATGCATTTAACTTTCATTACATCTCTTTAGTGGTTCTCCAACATTCACTGGCATATGTTAAAAACTGAAATGGCATTAGAAAAGAAAATATGTAACTTGGTTCCAAAATATATAATCTAAGTTCCATATTTTGTTTAAGCTTCAAAATACATGTCAGAATTTTTTAAAGTTTTATTTCCTTGACTATCAATAACATAACATAACATAACCCTTGACCCATTAGGTCATGGAGGTGTATTGATGGAAGCACTAGCACATAAAACCCGCCATCTTTCTCTGTATTTTGCTTGATGAATAAGTGTATGATAACTTGACTATCAATATAACTATCTAAATAGGTAAACTGATCTGTTATTTTAATTCTTTTTTTGTCTGTGGTGGTCATTGGTGTTTTCAATATATCTGTTTATTCATGACTTTTTTTGGTACTCAAACTGTTGATGCCATTTTTGCTAAATGTTCCACAAAAACATGCATTGCTGTTCTTAACATTCGAAAATCGCACTTAACCTCCCACGCCTGTATCTACACACCGGGTCATGCGGGTGTAAAGGGTAATGAGCGAGTGGACCAACTGGCAAGCAATGCACCAACACATGTGGGAAGAAGCATGGACAGAGCAGATATCGTCACCACTGTGTGGACTGGGCTAGTGGATAATGAGGAATCCCTGATATTAACACGATTGCGTGACATAGTAGTAAAGCATGGTGAAGCACATGTATGCCGTCTTCGAGGCTGAGATAGGAGACAATATAACCAGTTTCTCATGGGAACAGTTAGTATAAGTACTTTGGAGTGGCTGCTGCATAGGAGGACTGAGCACGCATGGGAATGCCCAGTGTCCAGTGATGTCGATTGTGATAACATAACATATAACATAACATTGCTGTTCTTACTTAGCAGAACACTATCATCTGCAAAATTGAGATCTTTCAGTAGGGTGATTTTCACGCAGTCAATGCTGGTGTTTTTAATGCAACATTTGTTTATCACCCCATTGATGGTTTTGCCAAACAACAGAGGATACAAAATACAGCAGTTTCAACTGCAAACCAGTCACCTAAACCATCATCTATTCGCTCCACAAACTCTGGGCCTTCACACATTGCTTTAATAATGTTTATGAATTTTACTGGCATGTTTCCATTTAAGTCTGTTAGTTTGTTAAAACGACCTCAGATCAATTCAACGACCATTGGGTTGGCAGAGTACATTTTGAAATAGAGATTACAGTGTTTACAGCAGTGCTTAAAGTTTTTATATCACAGAATAATATTTTTGCAGCACGGGTTATGGTTTTGTAGCACAGGATAAAACATTTTGCAGTTTATGTAGCATACAGTGTGTCATAGATTTCAGTTTGTGTATCATTGGTAACATTTTGTGTAGCAAATTTTTCTGTCATAGGTTTAAGTTTTGGTAACATAGCATACATATCTTTTAAATGAAATCAATGTGTTGGCAGTTATTTATACTTGTACGTACGAAGAAGACACAAACAATAGATTGTAGTTTTTTTTGCCTAGCATATTTTGTTGTATCTCATCAGGTGCACACTACAGTAACTGCAAAAAAAAAAGCACCTGCCAATTACTGCCTTTATTATACAACTTTTCCCATTAAGGCAGGGAGGATTTATGGCAGCATTTCTAATACTGTTTACAGGTATGGATTTTATTTTGCCCCCAACAGAAAAAAATCCCAAACCTTACCAAGGATTCGAATCCAGGTCTCCCGCTTGACAGCCCACCGTTCTAACCGTTTTGCCAGCAGCTTCTCCACTACAGTAACAATTGATTAAAATGAAGCGAGTAAATGAATCCTTCGAACTGAAACACAAAATCGACTACATTTGAAAGTATCTGTCTGTTTCACTAAGGTAAACGCAAGGTGACAACCATGTCTTTTTGTCCATAAACCTGACAAGATACAGCAAAATATGCCAGGCAATAAATTATGCAACCTATTGTTTGTGTCTTCTTTGTGTAACATCGCAACAGGGAAACATTCCTTTGACTTGTACTTGTGTTTCAGTGGGTTACACACTGACAGTCAATACCATCATCATTATTGATCTGAGCCCTGTAGACAGCACAAGTGAACAGTACGACACCGTGTTTTCACAACTGCAGGCTGCAGTCAAGACAATGGTGAGTTATTCTTCAAGATTAGTTTAGGATGGTACCTATTTTATATTTTTAATGTAATGCTTATTTTGTTTATTTAATTGGTTGGACCTATTTTATATTTTTAATGTAGTACTTATTTTGTTTATTTCATTGATAAAAATTTGAGTGAAAAAATTAGATTATTGTCTGTGTGTATTTATAACCTCTGAGTTTTCTAGCTGCTCCACCCCATCCCCCAACCCCACCTCAACCCCATCTATCAAAACCTCCGTGATGCTTTTCTGTGCCTTGAATGTTATCAATAATGTTCATAAATTGATTTAGCTGCCTAAGGAATTCTTATTATTCAAAGAATAAATCATATTTCACTGGCTTCGAGTTGTGCATAATTTCTTCTTTTTTTTACTCTCTGTCTCTGTAATATTTTCATAGTTAAGTACTTGATGAAAAATCACAACAATTTAGTCTAACAATTCTTAGGAAAAAGACAAAGATAATGTGAGTAAATGGTAATATCCCACTCCAAGACGTGGAGTCATACACTTATTTGGAAGTAACACAGAGAAAGTTGAGAGAACTGATATACACAAAAGGCAAGAGGAATCTCAAAGTGCTAGGAAACCAATGGAGGTTTAAGGAATTTACAACTAGTACTTAACTAAAATGTTTAGATCTAATATCAAATCAGTACCGATGCTGTATAGAACTGAAACATGGAAAACAAACACACAAAAAAACAATCTCTAATAAACTGCATTCATTAACTAGTGCACCTGTGCAGAATAAGAGGAAATAAATGATGTGGTGAATAAATTAAGTTCAACCCCACCAGGACCGCACACCTAGAGATAAACAATTCCCAGAAACCCTATTTAACTGTAAAGATATTTAAGGGCTCCTGACAAATGCCAGGATGGGGCTTTAAAATAACCTAAAAAAGTGCATATTGATAAGTCATAAATGGTATGGTGATATGGTAGAATCACTAATCTTGAGCTTTGGAAGAGAACTTAAAAATTCCAGAGGAGAAGAAAAGATGCTGACATTGGATAGGACCCACTAGAATGTCTTTGCAATGGCACCCACACAGGCATAGAAATGAAGGTAGACAAAAAAAAAACCTGTATGGATAAGAGAGCTAGAGAGGAAGTTAAAAATATATGGGTGACATGGGGTGAACAGCATACGACAGCAATTGAGAGGACAACTTGGCGTGATCTTGTTGGTCTATGTCTGAATGTCTTGTGACCCCATTTCCTGTAGAACATTGGCCCCATGTCCAGCAGTAAAGCTGACCTTAAGTTAACATTCCATGTCCATATAACCTGCTGGTAGAGCATTGGTAACACAGCTATCAGCAATTTTATCCCATGAATTTATCACCCCCGGTCGCATTCTCAAAGTTTACACATTTTTATTCTATGTTTCCTGTTATAACATAATACAGTTTTTCCTTTTCGAGATGTCTTCTACTAATGTTTATGAATAAAATTCCTTTGATTTACAAATGCTGTGCTTAGGATTGATTCTTTTTTTTTTCTTCTATTTGTTTGTTTCTTAACTCTTTCTAAGCAAGGAGTCTCCGGTTATGATTTTTTTTTTTTTTAAATAATTCTATTTTGTGTATTAATTATAGCGCCATTATACCTCCGAGGTTTTGTCAGAAAATGCTAAAGACATCTGCTAGTAAAACATTGTTTACATGGTCTGTAGAATAAACTACACCTGTGACTTTGCTGTTTAAAGACCTCAGTCCTAATTCCCACAGTCTGCTTCAGATTCAGGCTGTAATATTTTGTGATGAAAGAGCTCATTCATTATATATTTCCAGAAACTTTGAAAATACATTGAACATTTTTTGTGTGAATGATACTAAATAATATTAGAAGTTTATAGCTCTGGGGCTTAGAGGTTAGTGAATGAGTTTCAAAATGTTAGGATCGTCTATGAGCTAGAGCTAGATTTCAATGGTAGATAGTTGTATTAAAACAATGTATTTTGTCATGCAAATAGTGCTATGGGAGTTGCAGCATAGAAGAGATAGGGTCTCATCATGTAATATTCCCAAATAATAGGTGGGGGCAAAGCTGCCAACCTTTTTGTTGAGATGACCCACAGTTTATTCACCTGTAACTGTGTTACAATTTATTGTTTCAAGAGTTCTAATGGGTAATGACGCTTTATAATAGCTGAGTTAAGCTGAGTCAAGAACTGACATAACAGCACTCGGGATATTCCCACACAAGCTTCCAATTCTGATGCTACCAGTAGCAGTCTGGTTATATATCCGTCTTGTCTTTTCTTTGACTGTAAAGTGTCGGCCAGACCCCCCTGGTCATTCCCCGCCACACCATTCTCTCCCCACCTTAATGATATATTTATGCTTTACTTTGTTCACTCACTCGGAAGCTGCCATGGTGTAGCAGCTAGACACTCACATACGGATTGAAAGGTCGTGGGTTCAGGTCATGCTGGAGCCAAACTTTTGTCAGAAACAGACCTTGGCTACC